CATCTAATCCCAATCGATTTTCATGCTGTGCAATTATGTTATCATATAAAAGACTACGATTTGCCATTCTGTAAACAAATATGGGTGTGTGTGCCTGTGAACAGGATTCTCTCTAAAAAAAAAAGAAAGATAGAAACTTTTTATCTAACATTTTGAAAAATGCAGACATTTAACATAGCCTACATGAAAATAGAGGCACGTCAGCACTAATATTACAATGAACGGGACTATATCCTGTGTGGTTTGGAGCAGGACGCCACACTGTGTGCAGCTGCAGGTACAGTCACATGACTACCAGGCTGTCAGCGGAGCAGAGCTGCCAACATGGACGCCCAGGAGGAACAAGCTCAGTTGCTAGTGAAGAAAAAGTGCCAATTCCATTAAATGGTCATACTTTGGATTCAGGTACGACGACACTGAACAGCAAGATGTGCTCTGTAAAAGTCCCAATCTGATATCTGGATCGGATCGGCCGCTGATTTTCGCAAAAAAAGCATATCGGCTGTCAGGAGAAAATGCAGATCCAGACTCCAGATCCAGTTTTTTTTTTTTTACGTTCGATCCTTCACGAGCATTAGCATTTCCAACTTACAGGTCTGTGTCCTAACCATTAAGTTGTTATCAGAGTAAATCCCTGTTCAACATGAGTTTAACAACTAAGTATTAGTAGATAAATAACTTTAAACTTTAATACATGCTCTGATATGCCGAGATCGGTAGCGGATTGGAAGTGAAAAAAGCTGGATCGGGACATCCCTAGTTAAAATATACAAAAAAAAAAAGGTTATCTCAGGGCCTGTATGCATTCATGGCAAAAATAGGGAAATTCAGAAAAGTGCATAAGTTATACCATGATTCTAAATAACAACCATTACTACATTCATAAACTCCTTCAACATTAAAGTTTTACTTTAGTATATGTTTTCTTCCAATTCTCCAACAGAACCAAAGAAACATCAACTCAGGATGGTTTGTTGTCGGTATAGATGGAACTGGAAAGAGTGCAGCAAGAAACACAATCCTAGGGGAGAAACGGTTTACATCAAAGATTTCTGCTATAGGAGTGACCTGTCAGAAGGAAACTCAAGTGTTTGGTGGTAAAATACTGGATGTTATTGATCCTCCAGGGCTGTTTGACCCCATTAGAACCAATGAGGAGCTGGTGGAAGAGATAGCTACAGTAGGTGTATTTCAAGAAGAATCTCAAGAAGACGAGCAGAGACGGAGAACCCATTCATTAGAGATTTCTGGAAAATGCTGTTGCTGGACCTTTTTCATTAGCTATTGCTTCGGCTGTTAAGTTACTATTTAAGAAAGAGAAACAATGCTTCATTCAGTGATTATCACTGTTGTACATTAGCTTCAATGAATCAAAAGGCTCATTAAACTGAAAAAGCTGGGTTGAGTCATAAAAACTTTGTAACTTGGATTTATTTTTTAATGTGATTTTCTTTTCTTTGATACTTTATGATCATCTCCTTTGTCTCACTGAGTGTTAATTGTGTTATTGGGGTCAGATTGTCTCCATTTGTTGTTATGAACTGTTATGGAAAAAGTTATTTAAAAGAGTGAGGCAAAGTTTCCTAATAATTAGAGAAGATCGATCTTGTCCAATAAAGAGATTTATTCGAAGGCAAGAGCGTTCGAAGACGCAGTCACATAGAAAACCCAAGTGAATGCGCGCCTGTTGAAAAGGCACGTCCCCTTTTATAACTTCGTATGAATAACAAACAAAGAGATTCTGATTTACATTCAGTCCTCAGGAAGTCCTTTGGAGAATCTCCAAAGGGACAGTGATATGCATATTCTCAGGAGACAGGAAAGGGCCCCCATGTGGATTGGTCAAAAGGAAAACCTTCTCAGGTGTGAGGGTTTCACAAAGGGCAAGTAATACAATTTCAATGATAAACAGGAATGGGAGATTCATTCTTGATGAGATTAAGGAAATTGTTGCATTTCCTAGTGGTGCTAAAACCAGTCTTCAGACGTGTGAGACGACTCTCCCTAAAGGAATCAACAACAGTAGCTTTAACAAAGGAACAAAAGAAAATTCTCCACAACAGAACCAATAATCAAACTGTAAGAAATCTTGTTTCTTTTATTTTGTTGTCAGAGAGTTTTGGAGTGAAGAGGCAGACATCAGGTGTACTGTCTCAGGGTTCTGGGGTCTTCCTTTCAGGACTTATGAAGGTACTCAACGGGTCTGTTACTGGTTATGTTCTTACATAACTGGTTAGGTCGTGTAGTTGAAAAGACGAGAAGAACAGGCTGGGGATGAAGGAATAGAATTAGGGAGATGTTTTTAGGTATCTTTCAGAACAACATCTGTAGAGTCCTAACAGTAAAATTGTAAAATCTGACTTCTGATTCTTTGAGTGACTTCTCATTAAACATCTGATGAACATACTTGTCGGTCTGCTGATACTCAGAAAACTCATCCTCTCTAACCCACTGTAAAACCGTCCTGTAGCTCCATCTTCCACTGTAAGGCAACACAAAGCTAATCTAATCTGTATGGACTGTCGTGAAATATCCTTTCAACGACTTGTCGAATTATTCTAAGTCTTGCAAAATTACTAAGTTCTTGAAGGAGAAGCTGAAGAATTATTCTAAGTCCTGAAGGAGCAGTTGAAGAATTATTCTAAGTCCAAAGTTGAAGAATTATCCTAAATCCAAAGTTGAAGAATTATCCTAAGTCCAGAAGGAGAAAAATCCTAAATCCAAAAGAACAAGCAGAGGCCGCTGGGTCCAGGTCCAAAGTGGTTTATTGCAGCAAATACAAATCCAACCACGTGAGCTGTTAGCCGGCTAACAACTGACTTTCTTGGGACGGACACCTGCTTTTAAACCTTTTGATTCTTGGGGGCTCCACCCTGAGCCCCTCCTCTATCGGTGCTCCACCCTGAGCCCCTCCTCTATCGGGGCTCCTCCCTGAGCCCCTCCTTTATCGGGACTCCACCTCTTATGTTTTAGCCTTTGAACCATGGTTTCTTCCTTTTATATATATATATATATGTATATATATATATCCCAGCTACATGTTACTTCTACTTTTCTTTTAGATATATATATATGTATTAATGCACTTACTACTAATTCTTTTGTGATAATATATTCACTGTAGAATATTAATCCACTACAGGACCACCTCATGGACAACACGATTGAATGTGCTTAACATGTAAGATTACAAAATAAAAATGTATTCAAATGTGAGAGTTTAGAAGCAAAAACGAAGAATAAGTCAAACAGAATAAAACTGGAGCAGCTCAGATCATTTTGTTCTGTTCAGTGAGTTTAGAAGCAAAAACGAAAAATAAGTCAAACAGAATAAAACTGGAGCAGCTCAGATCATTTTGCTC